TATGAACTTATGTTTATCTTAGTTTTTCTAAAATCTGGGTATGTTTGATTCAGTACCTATGATCGAGCGGCTATTAAATTCCGAGGTGTTGATGCTGATATCAATTTCAGCCTTAGTGATTATGAGGACGATATGAAACAGGTTGGAATTTGATTACCGCTGTATAAAAAATTGATTAATGAAGCTCACTACAAAAACTAAATGGTTGAACTTTGAATGATAGTGTTTAAGTTGTGGCCTGCTTTCTTTTGGTGATGGACAGATGAAGAATTTGAAAAAGGAAGAATTTGTGCACATACTCAGACGGCAGAGTACTGGCTTTTCGAGGGGAAGCTCGAAATATTGAGGAGTGACGCTGCACAAATGTGGCCGGTGGGAAGCTCGGATGGGGCAGTTCCTTGGCAAAAAGTGAAGGCAATTGTTTTTGAAATTTTAAATTTTGTATAAAAAAAATACTATGATTAAGGGTGTGAAATGTTGAGTTCCTCTTGGTGTCAAACAGAGAATTATTTTTTTGTAGAATTAATTCTCGGACTGTTTTTTGGTTCTCTCTGAATGGAAAAACAATTTGGGTAGTGTTTTATAGTGGGGATTGTGATGCTTGCTTGCAGGTATATTTATCTTGGGCTGTTCGACAGTGAAGTAGAAGCTGCAAGGTCCTAATGATCACGAGTTACATTCTACCTGATAATTTATTATCCTCCATTCTCAACCTCAATTGGGTTCCATCCAACATATGTCCACGTTTTTATTTTTTTTCCCTGGAAATCAGGGCTTATGACAAGGCAGCTATCAAATGTAACGGAAGGGAAGCAGTCACCAACTTCGACCCGAGTTCATATGAAGGGGAGATGATCTTTGACACCAGTAAGGAAGGTATCATTTGTTACTGGTTTCTTATTATTCTGTGACTAATATTTATTCTAATAGAAGTTATTTGCCTGATGATAATTTTTTTGATGGTGCTTTGTTAACTTGTGTTTAAATGAGGTTCTACGCAGGCGATACTCACAACCTTGATCTGAACCTGGGGATATCTGCACCTGTTGGCAACGAGTCCGTAGAAAATGAGGGGCATGCCAATTTTTGTTCCAGCTCTTTTGACATAAATGGCTGGAAGAGTTTGAGGGTAAGGGTAACTATTCATTTGAACTATTCTGTATGTTTCACTAGGATAGAATGGTGCTTGCTAGCTTTATGAAACATACACTGCCTGTTTTTGTAGGATAATTGAGTGTCTTGAACTTTCCCTGTTGTCGATGGATGGTGTATCGACCATTCTATGATTCACTTTTGCAGGTGGTGAACACTGCTGCGGCAACATTCGGTCCAGTTCACAAAGGGCTAGCGGGGACTTCAGATCAGCCAATTTTCTGGAATGGTGTATGTCCTGCGCACTTTCCTAGTGAGGTGAAAACCTCGTTGCGCTAACCTTAGAGAACAAAAACAATGACTACCTCTGTATTTCATGGGCATGTTGTCTCATTAACATGGCATTGTTTTCGATTTTTATCGCCACTTCAACGAAACCTCAGATTGATCTTATGTATCGCCAAAATTTCTTGACTTGTTTGGCAGGAAAGCGCGGTGGTGACAAGAGTCGAAACCAGTCCTCCGCAAGGCCTCGCCAATTTGGCGTTGCAAATGCAAAGTGAAGCCAGTGCTAAGTCAATGCCACTGTTCTCTGCTGCAGCATCATCAGGATTCTCATACTTGGCTACCACTCCTGCTGCTACCATTCTTCCGTCACAACCTGTCAATCAAATGACCCTCAACCTCTGTTTTACCTCGTCAACGGCGACCGCAACCAACACCCCTCAAATCGATTTTCAGGTGAAGCCACCACGGGAAACACCTTAACAGGGTTTTAAAAAACGGTTCGTGACGGCCGCAATAGCGTCCACGACGACCGCAATAGCGTCCGCGACGGTCGCAATCACGGTAAATACGAAATAACCGAAAACGCGACCGCGACTGTGATTTGAAATCCTGCACCTTAAGCCTCATATCTCATACATTTGCAGCAAAAACTTGACGATGACAGGATTCAAATTCCGATTCATTATACTTTCAGACTTGATAGTTTCTAACTTTTTTGATGAACTGAAAAAGCGTACCGGGTTTGATATAAAATATCAAGAAGTTTTTGCCTCTTTTTTGTGGAAGTTACTATGGATGGTAAATGGGTGGGTCGGATGGTGATATCCCTTGTCTATCCTCATACTTATTTAATATTTTTATATTTATTATCTGCCCATCATTTATGATGGATAAATTTTTAAATACACTCGTCTATGAGGCTATATTTTCAAATTTACACTTGTCTATGTGAAATTTTGTGATCACTAGCAAAATGAAACGGTACATTTTATTTTATTTTTTTAATTTAAAAGTAAATAAAATTCATTTTCTCTTAGTTTGACAAAAATATATAACATATATTTATACTGGTGTAAGTCAATAAAATAAAAAGCGTGGGTTTTGTTTTTAAAAATAAAAATTTAAAAAAAAAATTATAAAATGTCACGTGTCATTTTGTCAATAGTCATATAATTTTATGTCACTTTTCGTGATGGAAGTGGATGAACTCATTAACGGCAGAAAATACCATGTATGAAATCGAGAATTTTAAAATATTATGTATGAAACGAAGAATTCAATATACTTCGTGTATGAATCGATAATTAACCCAATTCATAATGATCTAAAATTTATACAATAGGTAATTAGTGGATGGGCGGATGCGAGGCGGGTAAGGTCTTAAATTCACTTCGTACCCACAACGTATATGACTTTTTAGATCCACACTTGTCTACTACTTACTAAACTTATAACCATTACTGTCTCAATTAGAACAGGTGCAATGCGGAGTCTACGAAATTATACTCATCTGTCATCCTAAAAGTTACATTAAATGATGCTATTACAATGACAAGCAATACAATCTAAGCATACTATAATTGGATTTTTTTAAAAATTATCATTAGTACCTGATCTATTGACCAAATAATTCATATTAAGTTTTACTAAGGCCCATTATGAGGCGACTTTTTAACCCAATTTATTCTATACGCAAACGTTAAGATTTAAATCTCTCATCTTAGTTAAAGAATATAATATATCATCCCATTAGATAAACTAGTTGTTACTAATAGAATTGGATTTAATTGCTACAAAGCACAATCCATAGCAATTTTAACAGGTTGTGTAAGCGTAGGATGATATGTGTAAATAGAAGATGAGTTTTGGTTTCATGGGCATCCAAATTTTGCTGTCATGCTCATGATGTCTAAATTTTCTGTACGGTTGGACAGAACAGAACATATCTCAGGCTCGGATAAGGTCTGAAAATGTGTTTATGTATAATAATCTAAGGAATAATGTTGTGTGTGCTCATTTTGAGTGTCCTTTGTCCGTATTAATCATGGATGTATAATGACAAAGTCACACTCATAATGACAAGGTTAGTATGAGCTGAAATCAAAAGACAAGGTTCGAGTATATGCAACGCATCCCTTCCCAAATTTGTATTGATTAAAAGAAATTGAATATATTCGATATTGAAACGGACATAAGACTTTATTTGGTTTTTTTGACCGATTAGGGCATTTGGTTTTTTTATTTAGCCCATTAAAACATTCGGATATTTATTTTGGGATTTACGGTATTTTCTATTTTATTCATGAAATTCGTCATGATAAGGTGTTGAATTTTAATAAAATATAATTTTTTATTAGAACTCATTACCTCAACTTGATGAATTCTATCCATAGTAGAAAATGTGTTGATAATGCGTTTTTCCCTTCAATTTCCGGTTTTCCTATTTTTTATTTCTTCCTATAAGAGATGATATTAAATAATTTAATTTTATGATTTTTTTTCTTATGGTATGAAATAAAATTTAGTTTGATGTCAGCTTCTAGTCCTTCCCTATTAACTTTATACAATTTCATCCTCATTTTTTGGGATTGGTGATTACGATAATAGTATTAAATAAGAAAACATTAGGTGCAATTATAGAAAGTGATTTATGCCACAACGGTGTTATAATCTTTATATGGATAGTCAGAGGATAATTATTTAACAAAATAATATTAAAGTACTTTAGATTTATTTATCAGAATAAATATAGTGTTTTTTTTAATAGTCCAACGTGCGAAGTGGCACGAAACGGGCTCCAAGTGCGTTTCGATTGCTTCTGTGAACGTGGGTGGAGAGTCTAAGCTCCGGCGGACACCTCATAAGGAAAATCAAGTTCATGACAAAGCAGAATCTACGTGGCGAATAACGATTGGTTAAAACCTAGAGCAATGCGACTGTTGCAGCTCTGTCGTCTGCTACAAAAACAAATGTGAATTTTGTATGACCAATAGGAAATGAGCGGGTGATAAATGTTTAGTTGTGATGCTCGGTGTTATTATCATTGCCTCGATGGAATCTTTCCTCCCTCGCAGTGTTCACACTGTATTACAAGTATTTTCCATTTTTTTAATTTACTGAAAAGTAATGAAAAGACAAAAACGCCCCTGATTGCCGTTTCTATCCGCTGCAGTGTTAACCATCCATTACTTGAAATAACTTCATTTAATTGGAAAATAAAAATGTTACACAATTAGTAATAATAATAGATATTATGACACGAATGGTGAGATATCAACCTAAATAACTTATAGTTATTTTTTTATCATTCTAACTACAAATAATTGGTAATAATCGTCCACTCCACGTAATCTATTTTGAGACTAAAATCGAAAGCATTCTTTCATCGGGATAAATCTGTCATTTTACTGATATTCCGAAGGTATTTTTTCTCCCAAAACGTCACGACAAGATTTTGACTCATGATTTTATTCAAAAAGCCAAACAATCCCAATTAATTTATTTAATCAGCGGTACATCATGAATTTTCAACCCAAATGAAGGACGTTATTCCTAAAACAAACCTCAACCACATGATCATTACTCAATCCAGCGGCTGATATTAATCTACTAGAACCTTCCCTTCCCTTTATATCTTCCCCTTCTATGAAAGTGTGCTTGTGCTCAGCTCGTGTCCATTACGTTGGTTTTAGGGTTTTTCATTTGTTTACTCATCTCGTTACTCTAGCTGTTACTGCACGAAAAGGTTATTGTCGATTTGGGTTCTGATCTAAATTTTGAATTTTTTTTTTGAGTTTGATGTGATTTTTCTCATTTTGTTAATATGAATCTGCTTTCGTTGAAAAACAGAGGAAATGACGAAGTGTTACCCAACTGTGAGTGAGGAATACCAGAAGGCGGTTGAAAAGGCTAAGAGGAAGCTCAGAGGTCTCATCGCTGAGAAGAACTGTGCTCCACTAATGCTCCGTCTCGCGTAAGATTTTCCTCTTTTATTTTTTCGTCTGATATAAAATTTTGTTTCTGATATTGATTGTTGATGGATCGGACGGTGATTGTTGATGACAGTTGGCACTCAGCCGGAACTTTTGACGTCAAGACCAGGACCGGAGGTCCATTCGGAACCATGAAGCAACCTGCCGAGCTCGCACATGGTGCCAACAACGGCCTTGATATCGCCGTCAGGCTTCTCGAGCCGATCAAGGAGCAGTTCCCTATCCTTTCCTATGCTGACTTCTATCAGGTTCTAATTTTAATCGATCTAGTTTCCTCCTGATTTATTTGATTTATGTATGATTGGACTGATTTTGGTTTTCTTCCTTTTTTTGTTTGGGTAATTTGTAGCTTGCTGGTGTTGTAGCCGTTGAGATTACTGGTGGACCTGAAATTCCGTTCCACCCCGGAAGAGAGGTCAGTTAACAGCTACCATTTCCTAGTTTCAACTGTTACTTTTAAGAAATGCTAAAGCAATTTTACATTCACTACTTGACCATGGGATCTTGCTTGATTCTTGAATTGAAACTTAAGTTTATATCATCTGATTTCATTGAACCCAAATGTATGTTTTTCATTTACAGAGGGTAATTGTTAATTGCCTTTGTAATTGTTGTCCCTTTCCTGTTTGTAAAACTGTTAGATGTATGGAAGCTGTAGTTAGTTTCCATCGTTTAGAACTATTACTTGAAACAACTGTTAATCTTTGGATTTGTTTATACTAATACTCTTGTTGACAAATTCCAGGACAAGCCTCACCCACCTCCTGAGGGACGTCTTCCTGATGCAACTAAGGGTTAGTGTTTACTACCTATTGCGGAATGCCTTTGTTTCTATTTAGAATAAAATTGATTGCTTTGATTTTATTGATGATTTTAATTTAATCCTTGTGATGAATATCTTTCAGGAGCTGATCACTTGAGGCAGGTCTTTGGTGCTCAAATGGGTCTCAGTGACCAGGATATTGTTGCTCTTTCTGGTGGCCACACCCTGGTGAATAAACTTCAAATTTCCGTGTATTTTTTTAGCTTGATGCGTATTTGTGTGTATCCGTTTAACGATTTGCATGTTTCTTGTTTCTCTTTCATATAGGGAAGGTGCCACAAGGAGAGGTCTGGATTTGAGGGACCATGGACTACCAACCCTCTCATCTTTGACAACTCTTATTTCAAGTAAGCTTCACTTTTTATTAGCCGTGCATTTTTCTCTTCTGTTCTTTTGTAAAAGTCTGTTGAGTTGATGCTAATTCGGTTATATTTTTATAGGGAACTCTTGTCTGGGGAGAAGGAAGGCCTTCTTCAGCTACCAACCGACAAAGTTCTCCTGTCTGACCCTGCTTTCCGTCCATTGGTTGATAAATATGCAGCTGTACGTAGCTCTTCCCTTCATTTAAGTGACTCAATTTCATACAATCTGCTGCTCATAAGTTAAACCTCGTTTTATTTATTGATGGTTTTCTTCTATTTGCAGGATGAGGATGCTTTCTTCTTCGACTATGCTGAAGCTCACCTGAAGCTCTCTGAGCTAGGGTAACTTTTGCTTTAATTTGTTGTTACTTAAATTTTGTTATGCATTTCCGCTCCTTTGTTTTTAACAGTTCCGATGGTTTCTATTTCATCTTGCAGATTTGCTGATGCATAAGCTGGTGGCTGTAGAACAGGATGAACCTAGAACATTTTCCTCCACAGATGGTATTGGGTTTTTTTTTAATCTCAAAGAAGTTGGTTAATAGGCAGTTGTTTCTTGAAGAATTTGGGTATTTGCAGTTTTATTTTGTTGAACGGAGTTTGTGGAGATTTCCTATGGAACTTGGGCTTTTTCTTGATAAATAATATACAATTTCTTCGAAATAAGTGGAATCATTTTGCCTTTTTTTCTTGTTGGATAATGCTAATGTATGATCCGTATCACTGATTCGTTTCCTTCTTGAATATGCTGCTCTGTCTGTTATGTTTGATGCTCTGGCTTTAGAGTACAATACGCCAGAAACAGGTTTATTTAACTATTGATTGTGGTTGACCTTTTGTCATTTCTCCATTTGGAGTTTCCAGCCTTCTGGGTTGGCCTTGTTTTGCAAAAACTTAGTCCCGGGTTGCACTGTCAGTTGTGTGTTTGAGCCTTTTGTAAAAATACGGCTAGAATTAGACACCAACTTGGAGCCTAACTCAATCGGGGCTTTTTCCCTCAATGGGAAAGCTACTAGTAAAACTGGTAATGTGTTGGATTGACTTCTATCAGCTGGAGATTTATAAATATTTTTTTTAAAATGTGTATTCACACATTAATTATTAATTGTATGAGCGATGGTTTATAAATATTTTTTAGAGTTGATATGCACACATTAATTATTAATTGTATGAGTTGAATATAAATAAAATTTTATCGTGGAGCCTAATTATAATATAGGCTACCAATATGAAAAAAAGTTCAAATTCTAAGGCGGGTGCCCACCCTGTGCTTTGAATCCGTCACTGCTTGTTATAAGTCGAGCCCACATTCATTCATCGTGCAATTCCTGTATAAATCAATCTGTTGTCATCCTAGAAAAAATATGAGAAAATAAATAGAGAATATGAAATGGGTGTTGATATTCAATTAAATGAATACATATAGTTTTAAGAAATATATTTAATTGAGGAAAAAATGATAAAATTATCTTTGAAATGGATTATTGATAACTTTTATTGATTTATTTTGATAAATATAAAAGATTGAGGCATATAAGAAAAAAATATAAGTATTGTTGTTGATTTTTTTAATGTGACGTTTTGAATATACTAATTTAAAAAAATAAAAGAGACATTTAATGAGACGAAATGAGTAATATTTTTATAATTTTTTATTTGAATAAGTATATAAAAACACACAAAAATAAGATGATGTGATTTATATGAAAATATTAAATTTAAAAAAATATATTTAAAGTTTTTAAATCTTTGAAATTCTTTCCTGTAGTAGCTCTTTAAGTACAATCTAAAAATCTCGAGTGTTTTCATCATGATGTCAACGTTGGTATATAATTTAAGAGATGTCTATTTTCGATAATCTTTTATTCTTTTTTTATTATGAATAAATAATTACTAACTATAATGGAAACATTAATTTTTTAGATATACTTAAAAAGTGAAAGAATTTTTTTATTGGATAAATAGTAAATACTTATCTTTTTATTCTTAAAATCATAGTATGATAATTATTAGTGGTGATTAATGAAGATTAAGATGGATATTATATATATATTATTTTGCAATATATGATGTAACGAATACAATTAGTAGTAATGGTTTAATATTGTTTGGATATGAAATCGTATATGTGAAGTGTCTGTATATATTTATATTTGAAGGTGAAATGTATTAATAATTACACACGCAAACACTGATCATTTGTCTTTCATCGCCTAAGTTTTGAGAAAATGAAAGAAAGAAAGAAAGAAAGAAAGAAAGAAGAGAATTGGGTACTCGCCTAATATTTCCTTTAGTTCCTGTTGCTGTGTGTCGCGAGTGCAGGTTGAGAAGGAAAATGAAAGACGGAAGGAAAAACAACTTTGACCATCAAGTGTTGTTTTCCGTCAAAATTTGGGGCAATAATATGAGCCGCGAATGATAGACTTTTCCACCAAATGTTAGATACCTTACTCTTCCTTTTTCAATGTTGGGCTAATTCCCTCAGACTCCTCTATTTATCACTTAAATTCCAAATTAGTCTTTAAACTTCAGAGCATTCTAATTAAACCCTTAAAATATCAATATTGTTTTAATCCAGTTTTTTTGTCGGCATAGTCATTAATTTAAACGTTAAACATTAATTTGAGTCTAACATAGGACACGCTTATAGTATAATCATTTATAATTTAATCAACGTGATTTAAATATATTATACATTTATATTTAAAATTAATATTTTAATTGTCGGCATAGTCATTAATTTAAACGTTAAACATTAATTTGAGTCTAACATAGGACACGCTTATAGTATAATCATTTATAATTTAATCAACGTGATTTAAATATATTATACATTTATATTTAAAATTAATATTTTAATATTTAACATAGAGACTAAACTGACGAAAAGGTTCTATTGATGATAAATATTTTAAAGTTGAAGAATTAATTTAGAATCTGAATTGTAGTTTAAGGGGGTATAATGTAGTTGATCCTTTAAAGTTTTTAACTCCAGAAAATCGAGTGGTAGAAACAGCTAACAGGCGAATGAAGTCCATTTGACATCATTCTATCGATTTTCAACCGTAGATCTAGAGGCGGCTACACTCAGCGCTCCATCAAACGCGTTCTGCTTTCCTTCCTCTTTATAACTACCATCAAGTCTCAAACTCTCACTGAAACACCTTAAAAGGCGACTAATTTTCCCTATATATAACGGCCTTACGTTTCTTCCAATCCCACAAAAGAAAAGAGAAGCAAGTCAAAATGGCTAACTTTGCTCCGGGAAATGCCGGCGGTCAGTTCCGAGATTTTCCGGCGATTAATACGTACGGTGGTCGATTTATTCAGTATAGTATTTTTGGAAACTTATTTGAGATAACGTCTAAATATCGGCCACCGATCATGCCGATTGGTCGTGGAGCCTACGGCATCGTTTGGTATGTTAACATGAATTGTTTTCTTTTTTCCTACTTTATTTTGTTTTCATTCTTCGGTATGATTTTAAAACTTTCTTTCTTGTGTTTATATCTTTGGATTTTGAAGCTCGGTGTTGAATACGGAGACGAATGAAATGGTAGCGGTAAAGAAAATAGCCAACGCTTTCGATAATCACATGGACGCTAAGCGTACGCTTCGTGAGATTAAGCTCCTCCGACATTTGGATCACGAAAACGTAAGTTATTTTTTCTGCTGTTTTGAATTTTATTCCTTGTTGAGATGTTTTTGAACTTCATTTGAAAAATTGACTTAGAAATAATTTCATCTCCTCATATGAATTCTTTTAAAAATGTTTAGTTGGAACCTTAGACATGAATATTGAGCTTTGGTAGATGCACAAGTAATGATTATGTGCATGATAACAGGTAATTGCAATAAGAGATGTGATTCCTCCTCCTATGCGTAGAGATTTTGCTGATGTCTACATTGCCTTAGAGCTTATGGATACCGATCTTCACCAAATCATTCGCTCCAATCAGAGTTTATCCGAGGAGCATTGTCAGGTATTTCTCAAAGATATATTAATGATCGCGTATAAATATATCTATTTTGATCGGATTTTGATTTTATTTTATGTTATGCAGTATTTCTTATATCAGATTCTTCGAGGACTGAAGTACATTCATTCTGCAAACGTGATTCACAGAGATCTGAAACCCGGCAACCTCTTGCTCAATGCTAACTGTGATCTTAAGATTTGTGATTTTGGTCTGGCTCGACCTACAGCTGAGAATGAGTTCATGACGGAATATGTTGTCACAAGATGGTATAGGGCGCCTGAGCTATTGCTGAACTCTTCGGACTACACAGCCGCCATAGATGTGTGGTCAGTTGGTTGCATTTTCATGGAGCTCATGAATAGAAAGCCTTTGTTTCCTGGAAAGGATCATGTACATCAGATGCGTTTGTTGACCGAGGTAAATTGATATTTGAGCATATGTTGAATAAGCTAGCTGGCTTCATAGAGCGGAAAGTGCTTAGTGTTATTCTCTAATTTTACAAGAATTACAACAAGCCGCAAAGGGAAAACTTGATTAATGGGAATCCATGAAACGATCTCTTGCTCAAGATTCATGTCATAATTAATCCTCTAATTTGGATTCTTTGCTGATTAAACCTTTCATTAGGTTAATTACCATTTTACACTTCTAAAGTTTGGATTTATACAAAGTACCTGTAGTTGAGGATATCGTATATACTTAATGTGTTATTAGACTTAAATATGACGTGATTTCTTTCCTTGTTCGAATGTTCTCCGTCTCTTCCCTTTTTTTTTGGGTGGGGGGGGGGGATTAGTACTTATAATCAACTTTTATGTTTTATAGCTACTTGGCACACCAACTGAAACAGATCTTGGGTTTCTTCGAAATGAGGACGCAAGACGATACATCAGGCAGCTTCCTGCACATCCTCGCCAACCGCTAGTAAATGTTTTCCCACATGTTAATAGATCGGCACTTGATCTTATTGACAGAATGCTGACATTTGATCCCACCAGAAGAATCACCGGTGAGCGACATTTTCTGTCACGCTCTTATAGATCTTGAGTTCTAATTCATTAACTAAATTATAAGATTTTGCTGAAGAATAATTTGAGACTCAAATTTTGTTCAGCCTGAATGAAGCAATTCTTTTTTTTGCTTACATGAAAGTAATTTATCTGTGACAGTTGAAGAGGCATTGGGCCATCCTTATCTTGAAAAACTACACGATATAACCGACGAACCCGTCTGCCCCGTACCTTTTAATTTCGACTTTGAGCACCAATGGTTGGGAGAAGAGCAGGTGAAGGACATGATTTACAAGGAGACATTAGCTCTGAATCCAGATTATGCTCCATCATAAAATATAGTAGTTATCCTGTTTCGCTCACTAGTATCTTCTAAATGCGCCAGTCCGAGTTATCTTTGATGTAAAAGTTTGCGGTGAATGCTTTTATTTTTGCTGTATATGGTTTACTGTAACAAAGGCAAGAGATCAATCCAGTTGTAACAAATATCGAGTTGTAACACGGGCTGTAATTATGTAAATGAGACGAGACAGATCTCGAGTTATTTGAGATCGACTCGGTCAAAGCTTAATAAATGCTCGACTCGAATGGATCCAAATCAAGCTCGAGCAAGATTAAGTGTCTTAATGAGCCGAAACGAGTTACTTGATACTCGTCTCGAAAAACTCGTGAGCAGTTCAAAAATATAATATATTAAGATTTTATTTTTTAAAAAATAAATTATTAATAATATTAACATTTACGTGTTGATTTTTTAAAAAATGCAGTATAAGGTTTTCATTTATTTAAGGTTTGAATTTGAGTTTGAGGCTTCAATCGAGTTAAGTTTAAGAATTTTTTTTAGAATTTTTATGAGCTTCGGTTCATGATTTCGAGTTTGAGTCGAGCTTGAAAATTTTAGGTTCGCGAATTTTCGAGTCGACTCAAACTCCATCTCAGAGTTTTCTCAACAATACTCAAACTTGACTCGGCTCATTTACAACCCTAACTTCGACAAATAAATCGAATTTTGTGTCGAATTCATTCCAAGTTAAAGTTGATGCATAGTTGAATAGCATTTATTTGTATGTGATTTTGATAGAACATCCCAACATTAAACTGCAAAAAATGCACAGCAGCAACAACCTAGTTTGAAATTGGTAGATTTAATGAACCGAGAGCCTGAAACCACGATGGTACAACAGTTTTGCGTGCTTCCCATGTTGTCTCACTTGAATTGTCTCCCAAGAATCAAATCTCAGGCATCACTCTTTGCCAATATCCTTTTTCATACCTATTCGGATGTAATCAATTTTCAGTATCATAACGTGTTTGAATCTTCTACGTACATAATTAATTTTTCAATATAACTTTTATCTCAGTTTAAATATATACTTCTTAAATTGTTATTTAAATATATTGTGAAAATGATTTTATAAATATTCGATTATATTTAATAAAATAATCGATGATGGCTTTATTTTATTTTATTTGATGAAAATCACTTCATTTTATTAAATATTGCTACATATTAAATAAGATAATAAAAAGTTAGATACGTGCATAATAATATTTTTTTATAATTGAAAATAAAGGTATATTTGTCTCCTTCAAATTAAGTTGATATCAAATTAATTTCTGACATTATTTTTATAAAAAATAACATATAAAGATAATATAATTTTTTTTTAAAATATATTTAAAAAAAATTAGATATGAACAATTAATTTGTTAAGCTTTAACATTACACAACCAATAATTTATAATTTTTTTATAAAACTAATAAGTTATAATTTAAACGATATCAATACACTAAATATAAATCTATCTCCTCTAATTTCTTTTATTCGTGGTGTGATGTTAATACTTTTTCTTTTCATTTTTGTTGATGATTAATTTTAATGTTGGTTGTCGACTGTCGATATTTTTTATTATCTTTTTATTTTGGCATAATACAACAAAATAATCCTAACGTTTGACAATATTATCAAATTTACCCGTATTATTTTTTTGACACATTTGACCACTCAACTTTTTATTTTGGGTCAGAAAACACCCGGATGAAAATCATTAGTCAACTGACGGGGCTTGTTCAGCTCATGATACATGATGATGTGGCATGTCCACATGGAATAAATGTTGACATGGCATATCCACGTGTGATGCCACATCAACAAATATTTTTTAAAATTAATTAATAATTATTTTTTACTAATTATTAACAACCAATCAAATATTGTCATGTGACACATGGGATTTTTTTTATTAAATTAGGAAAGGAGTGATTAAACTTCCAGAAGATGCATCCCATGGGATTTGAACTTAATGGATGAAAGGTTTAATGACTAACCATCAAACCAACTCACTTGGATGTTATTATTATGTTAATAATTATATTTAAAGTATATCGTAGCCATCAAAATCACAACACAAACATTTTATAAACTTTTATTTTAAATTTATTTTTTATTAAATTTAAATTACATACTCTCCAATCAAATTCATATTTTAAATTTTAATTAATTTAAATTTATAAACTTTAAATATAAAATAAAACGATTTCATTTTTTATTTTAAATTTATTTTTATTAAATTACATACTCTCTAATATTAATTAACATCCATTGATAATGGCACAGGTAAAGCGATGATATAAATTAAGAAAAAGATTTAAACATTTAATTGACATTTAGTTTTTTATTAATTGAATATAATTAACTAGATTTTCATGTGGTGTAATCCTAATCGTATGATTTAATAACAGTAAAAAAATAAATATATATCATGATTTTAATGACATCAATTAACTGTACCACCAATTTAGATTTACTAATAATACCATAAATGTAAATGATCAAATCGAATTACATTACAGTATAATGGTTAAATATCTAATGTCAACATAGTAGGAGGATAGCAAGTCATGGAGGGCACTTAATGTCAGATTGACTTTGCTGCAATTACTAGGGTATGTAATTTAATAAAAATATAAATCTAAAATAAAAGATTAAATCATTTTATTTTATGTTTAAAGTTTATAAATTTAAAAATTATTAAATTTAAAATATGAATTTAATTAGAGAGTATGTAATTTAAATTTAAAATAAAAGTTTATAAAGTGATTGTGTTGTGGTTTTGATTCCTACAATATATTTTAAATATTGTTATTAGTATAATAATAACATCCAAGTGAGCTGGTCTCGTTGTTAAGCATTGAGTCATTCATCCATTTTGAAGTTTATTCCCTCATTTCCTAATTTAATAAAAAATATTATGGGTCACGTGACAATATCTTATTGGTTGTTTATAATTTAATAAAAATAATTATTAATTAATTTTAAAAAATATTTGTTGGTGTGACATCACATATAGACATGTCATGTCAACATTTATTCCACGTAAACATATCATGTCATCATGTACCATGAGTTGACAAGCTACGTCAGTATTTCTATCCATGTGTACGTGCTTGGTCATCATCAGGTATTGATTGTCAGTTGACTAACGGTTTCTATTCATCGATGGTGTTTTTTGACCCAAAATGAAACGTTGGCGGTCAAATGTGTAAAAAAACAATACATGTAAATTGAACAATACTGAGGGTTATTTTGTTGTATTATGCCTTTTATTTTATTTTTCTCTTGTTTTAAATTTTCAATAAATCTATCGTTATGATACGTTTTTATATATCTTTTGACATGTTTGGGGTCATTTGCTCGTTGTTTTTCATTATCTCTTTTAAGAGTTAATTTAACATCGTCAAGACTGATCAAGATGCCGTTTATTTGTTATCATGTTGATCTTTTATGCTTTGAACATTTGAATTAGATTTGGATATTTGATTTGCATTCGTGTATAGTTTTTTACTTCACTCGACTTTGATTTACGGTTTTGTTGGCGGTTTTCAGTAGCTTGATCCCTTTTGCAGTTCGTTTGTATCTATCATTGTTCGAGTTTTGGTTAAGTTTTTAAATCTTTCCTGGTATGGTCCTTTTGTGATCTTAAGTTGTTAGTTTTATGTCAATGATTTTAGAAAAATGTCTTAAATATGCTTAATTTACTATTAAGAGTATTAATCTTTATTATAATTCGAAATATTTTTTTAATAAAAGTAGTCACTTCTATAAAAAAAATTACCGCATAAATTTTATATCTTTTATTCCACTTGTTTTTTAATGTATAGGATCAAGATGTTTTATTCATTGTTAATTGGTGATAAACTTATATTTATGAAGTTGGTGACATGCTCATTAATTCAAGTGATTGGCCATCAATAAGGTCACGAGATAGATTTTATTTGGATAATTATACATAATTTTCTTTGGATAATAAAATGGATTTCATGAGAACATTTTAGTTATTTATATCTAATAAATTGATTTTTTTTCTTTAAATAAATGAAAATATGACGTGAATTACCAAATAAAGAAAAGAAAGGCAGAAACTTAGGCAAGCATGAGACAAAACAAAGTTATTTATCTAAATAAAATTTCTTAATCTCCTTTTCAATGTCCAAATAAATAAATAAAGATTCTCTCATACAACGCGAGGTTTGGACTGAAGGCAGAGACGGGCTGGTCCTTTTCTTTTTACTTTATGCTAAACTTATGTTTTAATCATCTGATTTTTTTTTAATTTTGATTTTATTCAATATTTTGAAATTTGATGTATACAAGAAAAATAGCAATACATTTAATTCATAAAAGAAAATTCAAATCCAAGAAGTCCGAGCCCGAAAAAATCCGGAACCTCGTTGATCTGGACTGGAGAAAACCTGAGCCTCTAAGATTTGGAATTCAAAAACAGTTTGATCCGATCCGATTCGATTCGATTCTGCCAAACCCTTTTGTTTGTTACATCTATTTGTTAGTGTCTGTCAAATATGAATATGTGTAATCAGACTGTATTTACATTTTTCAAAGAAATTAACGTATTTAGAGAATACTATAAGAACAGAATCCGGTAACTATCTGAAAAATAAGAATTTGAAAACTGTTGTGTCAGTGCGTGGCGGCGCCGGCATTTACTGATTATTGGAGGAAACTGAACCCCTTGAATTGGTTTACAATATGTTTGCTGTAATGTTTTTGTCTGCTACTACCTTAATGTACGGCCTTGATGCTAAGAGGATGACACAAGCACAGGCAACATTTGAGCCACCACATTCAAAGGATATTATAACACACCCTCTCTGCCTATAAATTAAATGCCACATAACAACTCTTCAACAACAGCCATTGATGGCAGAAACCACTAAGTCTATGCCGGTCCCTGCTGATATTGAAGCTAAAATGTCACCTTCCATGAGTAAAAATGGTGGTTTCATAACCTTATTCTTCATTGCAGGTCCTCTCTCTCTCTCTCTCTCTCTCTCTCTCTCTCTCTCTCTCTCTCTCTCTCGACTCGGGTGTATCTGTTGAATATGTTCGATATGGTGTGTGTGTCTTGTTCTCCGACTTCAAACTGTATGTTACAGGTTGGGGCTAGCTAACCTTTGTGTTTTGTTTGGGGATGCGATAAGCAGGGACGGTGTCGGGAGTGATGATGTCTGGTTTCGGATGGTTGGCGAACCTGATTGTCTATCTGGTCGAGGAATTCAACGTGGAGAGCATTGATGCCACTCAAATTTCCAACGTTGTTCATGGTTGCATAAACTTGATTCCCATCCTTGGAGCAATCATTTCTGATTCATTCTTGGGAATTTTCCCTGTTGTTGCAGTTTCTAGCTTTATCTCTACACTGGTATACTATGTTCCATTCTCTTCAATCTTTGCTAGTTTTAAGCAACTTCATTGATCAAATTTTAAGCTTTTCCCAGGGGATGGTTTTGCTGACTTTAACAGCAAAACTAAGCTCTTTGAGACCTCCACCATGTGAGACCGGTTCAAGCTTGTGCAGACCTCCATCAAAACTACAATATGCTGTTCTATATTTAAGTATAACAATGGCGTCTGCAGGGCTGGGAGGGAGTCGATATACACTAGCCACAATGGGAGCAAATCAACTTGATAAACCTAAACATAAAGAAACTTTCTTCAATTGGTTCTTTTTCACTGTTTTTGCATCTTGCATAATAAGTTCCACTGCGCTTGTCTATGTTGAGGACAGCCTTAGTTGGGCCCTTGGTTATGCCATATGTTTTGCAGCTAACTTTGTTGCTTTGGCCATTTTCTTGGCCGGACGTCAATTCTATAGACACGATGAGCCTCAAGGGAGTCCGTTTACGGCTATGCTTCGTGTTTTGGTTGCTGCCGTGAGGAAAAGGAACTTGGTGCTATCATCGAGAAATGAAGATTATTACCATGAACAGTGTGGAACGAACAAGGCCTTGCCTACAACACCAAAACAGAGTTTCAGGTAAAAACTATTTTACTTGCAAATTTACTTTATTCATTTCCATTAAAGACTATGCTTTGCATAATCTAGGAAGGTTCTTCATGATGATTTAGTGCATATTGCCATCAAAATGTCATCTTTTTGAAACTTTCAAGTGTAACATCAATATAGGTAAGGAGGATTCTTCATGATGATCCACTTTATGCTCTTCACATCACACGTTGAGATTTCAACCTTGGGTCTTTCAAGTTGTAATCATTTAACAAGATGGAATCCGAATCGAGTTGAAATGTGTTCTCTTATGATGTAGGTTTTTGAACCGAGCAGCCATAAAAACCGAAGGAGACATTGATTCAGATGGATCAATAGCCAGACCATGGAAGCTATGCAGTTTACAACAAGTAGATGATCTGAAAACTCTAATAAAACTTTTGCCAATATGGACAAGCGGTATATTTCTTACGACCCCAATAGCAATCCAATCCAGCATAACAGTGATCCAAGCTCTATCAATGGATCGACACCTCGGTTCCGGATTCAAGATCCCTGCAGCATCTATTTTAGTCGTGGTCCTAGTATCCTCATCCATCTTCATAGCCCTGTTTGATCGTTTCTTATTTCCCGCATGGCATAAGCTAACCGGCAGGCCTCTGACGCCACTACAACGAATAGGAATAGGCCACGTGATCAATGTCCTAAGCATGGCGATTTCAGCAACGGTGGAGTCAAAGCGACTCAGAACAGCCCATGATAACAACCTCGAGGTACACCCTGGTGCCATAGTGCCTATGCAAGTCTGGTGGCTCTTTCCGCAGCTCATTGTGGTCGGCATCGGTGATGCACTTCATTTTCCAGGACAAGCTGCATTGTATTACCAAGAATTCCCATCCTCGTTGCGAAGCACAGCGACTGCCATGGTTTCTTTAGTCGTCGGCATTGCCTTCTATGTCAGTACAGTTCAGATTGACCTAATCAGGAATGTTACAGGATGGTTGCCCGAAAATATAAACCGTGGGAGGCTAGATAACTTGTATTGGATCTTAGTTACAGAAGGGACGCTGAATTTTATCTACTTTTTAGTGTGTGCCAAGTTATATAAGTGTAATAATATTGAAATGTAAATGTGCTAAATAAACAAAGCTGGAAGGAAGGCTTAATGTCCAATTTCTTTTTCAAGTTTCAATGATATTTAAAGGTCGTGCATAAGAAATATGATTACCCACTTTTATGTTGTTCACATCACACGTGAAACTTGGTTCGTTTAAGATGTAATCATTTAGATGCATGACATTTAATATAGTGGTGAGCCCAATGGCATGTGCTCCGGTCAACCCTCGTTCGAGAAGTTGACATCATTAGCAGCGAAAGAACAAATATATATATATATATATAAACCATTGCTTAGTTAAGATATGACATTTAACAAGTAAGAAATTCTAATCAAGTTGAAATATACTCTTCTAAACCGAGAAGAGATGATAACAGAAGGAGACATTGGCTCAGATGGATCAACAGCAAGAGCGTGGAAGCTATGCAGTTTAATACAAGTAGAAGATGTCAAAACTCGGATAAGACTTCGGCCGCTATGGTAAAATGGTGCATTTATTTTGGAACCCCAATGGCAGTCCAATCCACCATAACAGTTTATCCAAGCTCTATCAATGGATCCGGACTTTGGTCCCAATTTCAAAGTCCCTACAGCTTCAATTATAGTGGTGGACCAACTATCCTCATCCACCCTGTTTGAGCGTTTCTTGTTTTTCCTCATGGCAGAAGCTGACCGGCAGGAGTCTAACACCGCTACAGGAATAGGCCACTTGATCAATAGCGGTTAGCATAATTATCTTAAGAGATTAGAAAGATATATGTGGAGCCAAATACCCTTTATTCTTAGTGATGTTACATCTTTCGAAAGGATTAGGAGAAAGCTGAATGATCTTCTGCTCAAATTGTTCATCAATTTGTTCTTTTGTGTCAAATAAAAAAATCTCAAAGCCACCAACAAACCCTTGGTTGATTGGCTGGAATCACTTGAAGAAAGGGAAAAAAACCATTTTCTTAATGCATTCTGGTGCAGTATACTATTGTTAATGATAAAAAAGGGTTGTCCTAAGTTGGTTTTTGGCAAATGCTTTCTTCTGGTTCAAACTGTTTGGGGTATGTAGCTAAATATCGATTACTTGTTGAAATTATAATGGGATTGCAAGATGGTAGGACCTTGGGCAAATGGTAGGCGAATTTATCGGTGTAAGACGGTCCATGTGATCTTGAATGCCTTTTCCAAACTAGCAAAGTTCAAAATCTTAAATTTTGCATTTTAAACCAATTAAGAATGAATCAAGGGAAATAAATTGGCTTTGAAAATTTCAATTATCATATATTTTAAATATTTTTTATATTTTTATTAATAATTTATTTCTATTCTTAAAATTTTATATGTTAAAATTTTGAAATTTACATCTTAACATTAAATTTTGGCGTGAATCTCTAAAGACAATCTAATCAAAATATAGAGTATCTCAACGACCTTTAAAATTGAAGAGAAAATTCAAAAAGGAGAGTATGTATACATTTTCTCTCTGTAATTTTTAGTTGAAATTGATTTTGGGCCCATAAAAGGTACTATGGGGTTAGCCCAACTCTTAAATCCTTAACTCAGGCATCGATATATTTGTGTTTAGGCTTTAGGGTTTTTCCCTTGCGGTGAACCATTTGTAGCCGACTCAGTTTCTCCCCGCCCCCATTTCACCGAAGCTCTCCCCTTCAACGAAAATAGTTGCCGCCAAGAAGACCGTAAGATCGTATTCCCGTTTTCTTTCTTTTGAATTTCCTACACATATTTGTTAGTAAATTTCTGAAAATGTGTTTGATGAAATGCAGAAGAAGACTCATGAGAGCATTAACAACAGGTTGGCTCTCGTTATGAAGAGTGGAAAATACACTTTGGGTTATAAAACTGTCCTCAAATCTCTCAGAAGCTCCAAAGGTATTGGACAATTCTGCACATGGATTTAAGATTTCTAAAGTTTCTATCTATCTGATCCATGATTGACTATTTCTGGCGTTCTAAGTTTCCTAGTTTACATGAAAATTATGGTATCCTTATATTTTTATTGTTTTCGATGTGAATTTAGGTTGAATGAATTCATCTTGATTAAAATAGTGCTTAACTATAGGATAAGGGCATGAGGATGTTTAGTAGAATTTGTTTTATATATGACTGTTGCATTTCTGATGCCGATCAAGTTTTGTTCAATTCAGCATTGGAAGGCTGATATTCATATATAAATTCTAATGTTTTATAGGTAAGTTGATTATTATTTCCAACAACTGCCCTCCTCTTAGGAAGTCAGAGATCGAGTATTATGCCATGTTGTGCAAGGTTGGAGTTCACCACTACAATGGAAGTATGTTCCTTAACCTACCTTAACCTATCTTGCTCTTGCTAAATGCCTTAGAATGCATTTGTGTGCCATGATTTGAGTACTTGTATGTTGGATTAATTTCTGTATCACATTGAACAAACAGATTATCAATAAGGTTAGCTGTTTAGTTCAGCTATGTTACTCCGGTATTGATACTATTATCAATAAACTTCATCCGTGCTAGACACATCCCGTGTTACACGCACATCCGGATATTGAATAACATAAACTCGTTTCCCTTGCTTCCTTCCATTATTTAGTTTTTACTCATAATCTTGTATTTGAAGACATTTGTGAAAATGGTAGAATCTTTATGTCAAATCCCCTAATGAAGTAATTGATGTAGTCCATTACATGTGTTCTTTATCTCTGTAATATCTTAACTACCTTATCATCGATCTTATGTTTCATAAGTAATGACGGATTGCCGCTTGGTGAACCAATGGACAATGAAGTGATAACTTTTCTGTTTGAAGTTTTCTAGTAATTCAACACTGGTTTTAAAGAGTATTCCCCAATATGAATAAATGATGGGTTCTTTTTTGGCAGACAATGTAGACTTGGGCACTGCCTGCGGAAAATATTTCAGAGTGTGCTGCCTTAGCATTGTTGATCCTGGTATGTATAAGAGCGATGATTACAGTTTCGTATTTAACTATTATACATCTGTGTAAAATTCCGATCACGGTATATACCGTTTGTGTTTTTCAGGTGACTCTGATATCATAAAGAGTATGCCCGGCGATCACTAAGCTATCGTAAACTTATCTTCCTAAGTTTCTACCTGATGGTTTCAATTTTGGGTATCTGGAAACATTGTTGATGTTGAAGTGAACTTATTCTGAAATTCAAAACTTACTTTGTATTGGTTTTTCTGGGACAGTGTTGCTATAGGCCCGTGTCCTATTAATTTTTTTTAGTGGATTTCGTTTAAAATCGTCTCTTATCATATATTTTTTCAGTAGATTCTTAATGCTCTGCTTTGGAGAAATTAAGAAGTTTATTTTTTTTATAAAAATTCATGTAGCATTTAAGAATGATATTATATCTATTAAATATGAAAAATTTTAAGAAAAATAGTAAAATTAGAAAGTTCTTTAAATGTTTTTCTTTGACATTTTTATAATATTTCTTTTTTATCATATATTATGTGTCACGATTAAAAATTCAAATATTAATGTGAACAAAAGAAATTTTGTCAAAGTATGATAAGATACAGTCTCAAAAATTAAAATATTAATTATTTAACATAGTTATATTATTTGACATTACAAAATAAAAATGTATATACGGGTAAAACATTGCCAAAATTTTGTAAGTAAAAGTTCATAAACTACACTAAATAAGAATAATATTTTTGAAGAAAAAAGTTAAAGGATTTGAAGGGGAAAAAAACAGTAAAGGAACTTAAGAAGCAAAGAAGACAATGGCAAAGTACATTGATACATAAAATTAATTTAAAAAATGTACATGAATAGACGAGAATATTTGTTTCGAGTCATGGTTGAAAGTACAACATCCAAGTGGAGACGCTTTGTTGACTCATTTGTTTCTACAGACCATGACTAACGATCTAGCCGAGGGGATACAACGTGGCGATGAGGAGATATGATTTCATTTTCCACAGGCGTATACCTGTTTTGCGCGAGTGGAGTTTTGCTTGGTCACTGGTCTACGGTTCAGACAACACGATGAATTAAGTCCGTACATTAGTCATATCGCCCGTCCATCATGGTTATTTCGAGTTTTTCCTAAGCTAGCAAAAGTGAAGGTCACTTTACACGTCGACGATTTGAGAAGATTATTTCTTAAAGATGGTTTTACTCGAATGGATGACCTTGATGTTGTCCGAGTATACCTTTTGTTACTTTTGTATGCCGACTTTTTAGCCAAAGAGGGAAGACAACCTATTTGTAAGGATTTAATATTATTGGTAGATGACCTATATGCATGAAACGTGTTTCCGTGGGGTTTATATCTATAGAAAGCTACTTGGAAAAAATTATCGTCTGTCTTTGAGGACCGTCGTAGTTTGCGTGGGCATGGTTCCAAATACACTTTGGTAGGCTTTATTTGGGCCTTTAAGGTAAGAATTTCTATATAATATTTCCAAAATTAATTATTTAACAATTACTAAAATTAATGTTTGTGTATTATATTGTAGATTTGGATATTTGAGGTATTTCTCAGCATGCGTACTTATGCCATCAAGAATTCAAATGATATTCCTAGGGCTATTACTTGGAAGAGGATCCGACTGTTGGATTGGGAAGAGTTACTACCATATATGACGATCAATGATGTAAGTTAACACAAATACTACCATATATAAACAAGTTATTACTAGTAGACGTTTGACTTTGTTTGGGCTTTTATATTGTTATGAGGCAAACTATCCATTACAGACATTGAAACCCACAGAGGCTGAGGTTGCCACTGATTGGTGGCAAGCTAGTAGGTTTTTTTTATGGGACGGATGATGAGCACCCCCACTTTTTCATCGAGTTGATTCTTCACTTCAACACCGAGATCCATCACCTCATCGAGTCGATTCTCCACTTCGACACCGAGATCCATCACCTGATCGAGCCGATTCCACACCTCGACACCGAGAGCCATCACCTCTAGCCGACTCTACACATCGACACCGAGATCCATCACATATTCCATCACATCATCGAGCCTCTTCTCCACCATCACCTCATGATAG